CTTCCAGTGAACATGTTTAGTCCTTTTGTCAAAGATGAGGTGGCTGGGTATGTTTGTGGATGTGCTTGGATCTTCTATTCTGTTCCATTGATCCTCAGTTTTGTTTTTTAGCCAATAACAAAGCATAACACATTCTCTAACAGACCAGTTTTCTTTTATTGAAGAAAGTATATTTCCAAGAAAGAAGAGATATGCAGCTTGGTGAAAGGTTGAGTGCGCCCAGGATGGGTCCATTTCTCTTTTACTCCCTAGCATTTGGTGGTAGTGTTGTGTGACCAGAGCTTTTTCTGATCAACCATATGGCTCCATGTTTCCAACATGAGAGACAAGTTTTGAACTGGTGTGATTTGGAGCTGAAGGAAGAGTTTTGACTGCCCACTGAGAGGTCAGAACTGCAATTAAGGATTGGGTGGATAGCTTGGTGGTCTAAGCACCTGCCTGGCAAGTATAAGAACCCAGGTTTGATCCCTGGTACTGTATGCAGCGCGGCCACGAAAGCCGGCTTGAGGGCACATGACTGAAATCCCAGTGTTGGGGAGGTTGAGACTGTTTTATCACTAGAAGTCCAAGCTGCATATTGAAACCCTGTAGGAAATAAATAAGTAAACAAACAAACAAACAAACTCCGCAATTCAAATACCTAGAAATGAAGCCTAGCTGGACTATATGGGGCTCAGTGAAGTTATGGTGATACTTGAGCACTTAAGTGAACAAGCACAACTCTCAGTTTTTTGTAACAGACCAGTGGAGTACCTGGAAGGAGCTGATGGGCGCTTCTCAGGAGCTTGTGAGAACACAGGCTCCAGAAACTTAGACCACTTCCTGTTGCAGTTTCCTGTGGGTTCAGTTACTTCTCTCCCAGCCCCAGCTCATGTCTAACTACCTGCTCTATCAGTAACTGCAAAACACAATAAAATGAACCACAGTAAAATGAGTTTTTTTTTTCTCTCTTAGTTTAATGCAGGGTCTACCGGATGTATAACATTTCACTGCCCAGATGGACTTTTAGAGATTCCCCTGTTTTCTGCTTTGCAAGCCCTGGTATTAGAGGCATGCATCACCATGCCCATTCTCAATTGCTATCTCAGCACCTCCCAGGGGCTGGGCAGGCACAGCAGGCCGGGGATGGAACCTCAGACCCCTGGGTCTGCCTAAGCAGGTGATTCAATCAGCTGACCTATTTGGCTGGCCCAAAATGAAGTGTTTTAAAACTTCTGAAAACACAGTCGGGAATATAAGAAGCAGGAGGTGGGGTCAGAATACCAAGAAGCTGAGGAACCTGAAGTAGGAGAATCTTGGGCTGTGAGTGTTCTACTTTTAGCCAGCTCTATACAGTCCTCCCAAGATGTCCCTGAGAAAATT